CTGTTGTGAGATGCTTAGCTGGCACAACAGGTTGCTGGTCAGGAGGTCAGTAGTCACAAGATGTGCACAGTAGGTCAGTAATTAATCCTTAGTTCCCAAGAAACAACGCTTATCCTTAAAGAGATGTCGATATGGGGGGATGTTACATCCCTATCTTTAAGGTCATCCTTCTTGCCTTTGGGACTTAATAAGTATTTAAAGCAGATGTACAATGCATGCTCAACAGGCCACGTCAAGCCATTTTGGAAAAGTAAGTCCAGGCTGAATTAGTTTTAAACTTAATGGCTTCCTCATATACTATATAGATTATAGATCCTATAGATCCTATTGTTTTTCATTATTTTATCATTTTCTCCCTTTTGATCTATAATATTTTGATAGAAAGCATTGATGATCAAAATATTGTCCCTTGGTGCCAGGGTGGTTGCTGCCATACCTGGGTCCATCATATCTCTCCATGCTAAGCTTTTATCTCATTTGTTTTTCCAGTTATCCATGTTAGGGGGGAAATAGTCAGACAACCATAGAGGTACATATTAACAGAGGAAACATTTCATAGGTTACATAATTTTAGGTTGTTGTACAAACATTATACACGTGCTTTTACATAACTCATCATACTCACATTGTCAAAAAGTATAAAAGATTCATTTAAGACATTTACCTGCTTTTTCATGTGCTTTAGAAGATGCAGTTAAAATATCTAAGGTCATTCTATTTTGAAGGACAGCCTTTTTCATTAAAGACATTTCAGTGTTTAATAAGGCTATTCCTGCTTGACTATTGTTAAGGGCTTGTTCAGTAAATTTAGTCAGGGCTTCTACATGTGATACTGTCATCTTCTAGCCCCAAGGAAGAATCAAAAATATATCTGCTAGGTGGCCCTATCAGTGAAACACTGAATGAGCCCATCTGACCTTAAAGAGAAGAAGATAGGCACTGGTGTTAGTGTGCCTGAATCCAAGGGAAGCTCAAGGTGTAGTGTTTTAGCTATCTAGACACTAGCCAAGACCAGAAATTTGTTTCACATAATGATTGAGTTCCATTAGGAGCCACCTACTAGATGCCTTGCCTTCGAGAACTGTCTGTTCCAAATTGATCACTTTCTTTGATAGTATTCTGAAACCTTAAATGGAACAATTTTAAAATAGTTATACAGTTTAAGCATTACAATGGTTTAAATGAGGACATATAAGGTTGGGAATGCAGGCCTGTCTGGAGTCTCTGGACAGCTGTCTACAACAGATGCCTTCTTCTTCTCATCCTGGTTTGGAGATATTTGCATTGGTCGCTTGAAGTTGGGTATCAGAAATAGGAGCTGAAACCCACTTAGGAGGGGAAATCTTTCTTTTTTTTTAAACGAAATATATAAATCCATGGGTCTATGCCTTTTGATTCTCCAGCACATGAATTTGTTAAAAGTATCTGGTATGGTCATTTCCAACAGGGCTGCAGAGACTCTTTTATTTGATACCTTTTCTGATAAATAAATTCTCCAGGTTATAGCCCATGTCCTTAAAGTCTTTGTCTGCCAGGAGCTCACCATGAGAAAAATCAGCCACCAACCTCTCATTTCTTTTAAATGTCTCAATGAAGTCTCCCCAATAATTAAGCAGAGTTGGTTCGTATATTCCTTCATCTAATTGCATAGGCTGTCCAGTCATTATCTCAAAACAGGACATCCAACATTACCAAATGTTATAGATCTAAGGTTGAGGGGCACTAGCAGAAGAGCTTTTGGCCATAAAAGATTCAATGTTTCTGAAAACTTTGCCAGTTGAGTTTTGATCATGCCATTCATTAAAATGTTGTCTTATTGGCTAAATATCACAAATAAATTTAATTATTTTTCCAATGAAATGAGTTCCCCTGTTCACTGTGTAACTCGGTAGGAATTCTCCAAACAGGAATTATCCTTTCCAATAATAATTTACCTGAAGCCATTGTCCTTCTGCAGGGAAAGGCTTCAATCCAATGTGAGAACACACAGGTCATGACCAAGATATATCTATATCCTTGAGATGGTGGCATTTGGACAAAGTCCTATTGCCATACCTCAAAGAGTCACTTAGGAAGGAGAAGGTGGCCTTAGGGTTCATGAAATAGTTTCCCTATATTATGTTTTGTGCCTATAACATGAGTATAGGCTTTATGAACAACTGTGGGAGAAAGTTTCCAAAACTATTTTCCCCCCTTTTGTTGCCACCTTTATTTATTTTCTTCCATGGCAATTTCTCAAGCCTATAGAAGGAAATCTTTTTTGGGTTCACAAAGTTAATAGAAAGTGGCAGGCATTCTTGAGGCTGGACAGCCTATCCAGTTTGATAATATCCTTGCTTATTGTTTAAGTAAGACCCATCTGTTGACTGAATTGGATTATAGAATGCAGTCATTGTCTTTCCTCTTGTGGTGTTGGAAGCAAGGTAGCAGGGTTAAAATAGCAAATAATATTTACCTACTGAATATAACCTAAGAAGTTTTGTCATCATTTACTTGACCATGCTTCCCATGCAGTTTAACATACCAAACAAGCCTCATTAGTACCTCCCTCTTTATAATAAGACAGAATACATTTATTTGAGAATTCCCAGGGGCTCTCTGAAAATTCTCAGAGAAATTTTTCTTTCTCTTTTTTTTCCTAAGTTCATAGAAAGACTTCATTTATGATCTGAATTTTGGGGAGCTTGTCAAAAATACCAAAGATTTTAAAACACTTGGTCAAACAAAATCAAGGGGGTGCTGATCTAGTTGGCAGGAAATAAAGAGCCACTGTGAAACAGTACTTAGTTATCCATTCAATCAAAGTGATAACAGAAACAGTCAAAAAACTTTAAGAGAGAGGCCTCAGTAATTTTGAACTTAGGAAATTATTTCAACTGATTTTCTGTCTTTCAGGTAGACTTACTCAAAGGTAAAGAAAACTCTTTTATAACCTCTTTATCAAGAACAGATTAAGAGTTTAAGAAAACTATCCCTTTTAAGAGAAAAAGCCAAATTCTAATTTTTGTACCAGCTTACATCTGATATTAAAACTTATTTACTTAATTAAATTTATTTTAATCTTAGCCAACTTGACCATGTACAAAACCCCTCAGAGTTTTACTTCCTTCAACCTTCTGTAACTTTCTTTTTACATTCAGAATTTGTCCCTTGCCTTCCTTTTTCCCTTCAAGTAATTTAGGATGAATTTATCTTTCTTAACAACACAAACAAAAATATGTTCATTATTTATGCCTTCTTTACTGAAAACATACATCTTACTTTCCTTGAATACAAAGATGCCTTCCTTATTAATTTTTAGTAGTTTTAATCACACATGTTCATTAGAAGTTTTAACCCTTATATACCTTAACTTTCAGTAAAAACTAAAAACTAAGAAGTAATTATAAACTGTCTTTTACATTAGCATTCTATGGTGTGGCAAATTTATAAATACCTTTTATAATTTCTAAAAGCATGCTACTTCATAGTACAAACATCTAATAAAATACAAGACATGTTTACTAATAGACTTAAACATCTTTTGGTTTCTCTGTAATAAAAAACCTAAAGGAGATAAACTTCAGTAAGTTTTTAGTAAATAGTAATTTTTTAATTAATATCTAATATTTTACCTTCCATGGAAGTGAGCTAGATGCTCAATAAATCTTAATTAATTCAATTAGCAATACTTTAAGCTTTCAAATTACCAAAAAGTTTTGAAATTATTTTAAATACATACACCATAACACACAATTATTGTCAAAAAAAAGTTCACCCAACACTCTTTTCTTTTTCACATATATTTTGCTACTTATTTCCAGTAATTATTTAGATAGCCAACAAAACTTCATAAGGCATTAACCAAAATTAGCCATCATGTTGTTATTATATTTGTTAACCATTTTTGTGATAGAGGTAACATCAGCTTATTTGACTAATAAATGTACAATAAAGACTCCCTGTTGCATCATATCCAATGCTGATAACTCTGAGGACATGGTTATTCATTCAAATCAACACATTTAAACAAGCTTTCATTTACCAAAAATCATTTCCTGTCATGTTATCTTGAAAGACATTTGGGTTAGTTGCTATTGCGTTTGGAAATAATTTATGGAAGTGCTTACTTTAAGCCAATTAAACAGAGCTCTTTAGAAATTATACCATCTGGAGGTAAAAATATCACACATATGTTATATACATATAGACACATATACACAGAGACTTCACAGCTATTCTTTTAAAATTATGACCATGAATCAGGAACAGTAATAGGAGACTCTCTAGTTATGAATCCAAATTTTGTGGGTTTTTTTTACTAATGTTTGTGGAGAAGACACTCAAGATGCTAGATTTTGGGGGGAGACACTCTTATGGCTGTTTTTCTGGCCTTTCTTTCCCTTTTTTTCCTTCACTCTTAGGAATTGTTGATGGGCTAGATAACAGTTCCCAGAGAGGCAAGGCCATAATCCTTTCTGAGATAAAGAAACTTAGTGAAATCTGAACTGCCTCTGGAGCTGCTTTTCCAGTCTTACAAGGGTTTGTAAATTGAGGGCAGTTGTTCTACCTGTTCAGCTACATCACCCTAATATACTTCTTTCCCTCTGTGTGCTTAGTTTTATTTTCACTTAGGAAAGAAATCCTGGAAAGAAAATTCCTATCAGGCTCTGAATATCAGCTTCCAGTTTGGCTGAATTTCTGATCATGAGTTGCTAAATCATTTCAAATACCTTGTCAGGATTCAGCCAGGACAAACAGAAACTAGCTGGGGGTATTGAACAGTTCCAGTCATCTTTAAGGTAGCACCTTCCCAGAAAACCTCTCAGAGTCTCATTAACTATAGGAGGAAATTATGGGGGTTTCCGTAAAGTCATGGAATAATATATTTCCTTTAAGTAACTTTTATAACTTAATTTTTATTAGCTTTTTTACAACAAAACTTTCAATAAGATTATTTTGGAATTTTGAAGTTTTTGCTTTTAAGTGTACTTCTTTAAATGATCTTATCTAATCAGAATGTTCCTTTTAATGGCCAATGTAATTCCCCTGAGGCTGGTGGCAGCTTGGCAGGACCCTTAGCCACAAATGGAATGCAACCCATATTTCTCTCTGACTATCTCTGACCACAAAATGGGGTCAAACTGCATTTTGTCTGACCATATTTTGGGACCTCCACCCTGAAAATTATTAAGTCAAGTCCTCAGGACATGAAACAAACTTAGTGAGATATTTGAGAATAAAAGGGATTAGGGAAGGAAGGAGAGAGGAAAGGAGAGACAGAAAGAGGGATGGAGAGATGCAGGGAAAGCGAAAATGCGAAGCTAGGACCTGAGTTAGCTGTTAATTATAAATTATATTGAAAAACCTTCGTTTTATCACATTTGTTTACCTATATATTCCAACACTTAGAACAGTAGCAGGGAGGGAGGGAAGGAGGAGGGAAAATGAGTTAGGAAGACAGGGATACAAGGAAGATGAGAAGGTAGAAATGATGGAAGGAAGCAATGAAGGGAGGTGAAGGACATATGAGACCCAGACTACATCTGAGAGAATTCTCAGATATTCAAAACAATATTACAAAAGGTTTTTCAAATATTGCTGTTCTCTGTTGAATGTGACTATCTTCATAAGTTTAATTTCGGTTTCTAAGACTGATAACTCCTTAAAGAATTCTAAACTCTTGGAAGATGTCTAAACACTCCTTGGTATGCTCTCTTGCAATGTCCATGCACACATTCTTGTTTTGCCATAATTTACTGATGACAATTTACTGCCAGAGTGCCTATAGTTCCTATCTTGATGCAACAGCCCAGGAGATTCTATCTGTGCAGATGCAGCAGGAATGACTCTGAGGATGGACAGGCACAGAGGTCTCAGTGTTGCCTCCCCAAGGAGACCATCCTTTCTCCCACTGCCCTGGCCACTGCTGCTGCGGCTGCCATCATCACGGCTCATCTGAGTCCCACCACCCCCGCTCAAGCCCAAGGTGCCCAGGCTGCTCCAGGTACGTGGGTGCTCCGGGCAGCTGAGTCAACTGTCCCCACACACACTGACCAAGGCATCCATGGGCCTGAGCCCACCATGCACCCTAAACATATCTGCTCTGCCCAGATGCAGGCTCCATTGTTCCCCTGGACTTCACTCACCAAACACGAGTTCAAAGAAAAAGCTATTAGGAATGTCAGTGAAGGCAGCAGAGAATTAAAACAAGCACAGGGTGCTTCTGACAGCTGGTCCCTGTGTGACTGTCACAATCTGAAGCCGGCCCTGGCTACAAGAGATGGGAGCCAGTAAAAACTGCTTTTTTAATTACCATCAAGGACTCTGTGCTGAGAAACCTTGTTTCCTAAAACTGTAGATGAGAAAGACTTCACTGTTCAAAAGCATATCTACAAGAATGGGACACCCCACTCTTTTCTGGGGAGCTGAGCCACTTTGCCACAGAGACACTGTCTCAATTTCCTACTCAGTTACAGGTAAAAGGGATTTTAGGACAAAGCATTTATCGTTCTTTAAAGAACAGGACCATGAGTCTACCTATCAGGCCAGGTTTGATGGTAACCATTTTATTCACAGCCTTGCTTTGCTTTGAGCCTGTGAAAACTACTAATTCAATCAGATTTTACCTAAATTAAACCCCTCCCTGAATCCCATAATAACTACATCTCTGGTTTTCGGTGAGGCACTCTACGGTTTCACTGGTGTGTGGTCTCCTTGCTGTAGCAAGATAATAACCCTACCTTTGATGGATTTAGATGTCCCTAGGCTTTGTCTCCAGGATAAACATAGCCACAAAGGAGTCACACTTAGAACATTCCAATGGAAAAGAAGCAGCTACAGTCATAGGAATTCCTGATGGGAACACTCAGCCCCATGTCCTAAGGCAACCATACTGATGCTACCTTCTCCTTTGGGTGCTCCTCCCCAGTGACATGTGGGTCTCACATTTCACAATGATTTTCAGAATTCTTGCCATTTTTGCATTATCCTCTAACAGGGCCTTCACAAATGCAATGGTATCAGGACAGGGTCAAAGGTACACTGGAAAAAAATGCTATAATCCAAAGGAAATGAAAACACTAACTCAAAAAGATATCTGCACCGCCATGTTCATTGCAGCATTATTCCCTGTAGCCAACATATAGAAACAACCTATATCCACTGATAGATGAATGAATAAAGAAGATGTGTTATATATACACCATGGAGTACTACTCAGCCATGAAAAAGAAGGAACTCTTGCCATTTGTGACAACATGGATGGACCTTGATGGCATTATTCTAAGCAAAATAAGTCAGACAGAAAACGACATGTATTGTATTATCTCACTTATACGTGGAATCTAAAACAAAAATAAAAAATCAAAAATTGAACTCATAGATACAGAGAATAGATTCAGGTTTGCCAGAGGTGTGGGCTGGGAGAAATTGTTGAAGAGGGTCAAAAGGTACAAAATTCCAGCTTTAAAATAAATAAGTCACAGGGATGTATTGTACAGCATGGTGAATGTAGTTAATAATACTGAATTATATATTTGAAAGTTGCTAAGAGAGTAGATCTTAAAATGTCTCATCACAAGAAAAAATTTGTAAGTGTGTGATGATGGATGTTAACTAGAATTATTGTGCTGATCATTTCACAACATATACTAATATCAAATGATTATGTTGTATAACTGAAACTAACTGAGCTTTATCTATCAATGACATGAATTAAAAATCCTACTGGTGGTTGTTCTGAGTTGAAAAATGATTGCAAGAAAATTCACCGTCTTCTATGGGTGAACTTTTAAATGACAATGTATTAGTTTTATAACAATAATTTTAACCAGTGAGAGTTGGGATTCATATCAAACATAAAAAAGGATGAAAACCACTAACTTGCTTCAACTTACTTCAATTTCTTACCAAAGTGTGCTATTTCTTTAAGAATGCTTACTCAAAAAAATAAAGAGACAGAGCAAACTAAATCATTGTGTGAACCTAGATTGAAAACGAACTAGGAATAAAATCAACAACTACAAAGCACATGCGTGGAACAGTTGGGGAAATGTGAATACTGACTAGATACTAAATGATATTAAGGAATTATCGTCATTTTTTAATGTATGTAAACCGCATTGTGACTTATGTGGGAATTTTTCCTTCTTCATAAGAGATACACGCTGAGATAATTAGGGTGAAGTACCATGATGTTTCTTCCTCCTTTACAAGGTGAAAGAAATATAGCAAATACATATATATACATTTAAAAAAAAAGTTTCATTTAGGCAAAACATGTACACTTGGCCCTGTGTATCTGCAGATGTGGACCCATGGATACAGAGGGCTGACTAAGAATTCAAGCACCCATGTATTTTAGTATCTGTAGAGGGTTCTGGAAGCAATCCCCCGTGGATGCCAAAAGACAACTGTTTGGCAAGCTTTCACATTCAGTTTTCCCCTATGCTTACTTCCCCTGGAAGAAACAGTTTTAGGGTCAGGATTGATGAATATGCTCCTCAATGCAAGCCTGCTTACCACACAGGGAAACAAAGTCACAACAAGGGACCTGACCCATTGGTGACTAAACCTAGAGCCCTGGATGAAAACTCCTTTGGAACTTCCTACAGCATCCTCGTCCAGCCCTCCTCTTTATACCCCATTAGAAACTTCCTCCTGTGGAAAGTCATCACTGGTCTTGCCTAGAGAATAACATCAACAGCTGCCCTGTAAAAACGTCTCTGCCCTGCTGCAAACCATGGATCTTGAAAACACGACATTTTAAATGAGAGATAAAGTAAACCATGACTAAATTCTACTTCTTTCACCAGCATTATATTATAGCATCTATCAAAACTGACCCTGGATTCTAGGTTATTTCCTACAAAGTCCATAAACAACTAAATATATTACCTAAAGAAAATTATATTACATATAAATAGATGTTTGTCTCACTCAAAGGTCATTTAGAGCTAAAGAGGAAGAAACCATGATTAATGCCATTTATATTCCTTCAGAAAAACCCTCCCCGCTGACCATCAAGCACAGACCTCTGTCCATTCCCAGTGCCCACCGTATATTTTGCTGAGTCTCAGAGGAATGGTGAGGGTCCAAGTGACACTGGGAGACCTGACACAAGCCTGGAGTCCTGTGGGCTCCTTCAGAACTGGAACCCACCAACAACAGGGAAAGAGTGTGGAAGATTTGGAGTTCCACTCAGTGCTTCACCACAAGATCCAAATGGCAGGGTAGATCCTTAACTTTGACACCTCTGAAAAGCAGTTACACCCCCAGCTCTCAAAGCACAGAAGGTATGTAGCCCTGAATGTTGCCTGAGATACTGGGTAAAGTGAGGCTACAAGTGTTGTCCTCCCTTAGTCATTCCTAGATTCTCAGGAGAGCGGTCTAGTCAAAAGTTCATCCTCTCATTCTTTCTCTGATGAAGAGAAACTGAGCCACTATCTGTCAAACCATCTGTCACGTTGGGTTGATGTATATTTTAGGAGACTTTTCACATGAATGTTACCATCTCTTGATATTCTCGGGAGGGTCAGCATCAGCACATCCATCTTCACTTAGTGCCCAAAGCCCTCTTCGTGCACTGAAAACCGATGACTACCTTTGGGGATGTTGGGTTTGAACAAGCTCTGCTTTATCCCTGGGAGCTGAATATGCCCAGGGGTGATGGAATCAGAGCAACTAGTTGTTAGTTTGGCCTTAGACTGTCCCCTGACTCAGGAAAAACAAAGTTGGCAGATTGAAAGTGTGACAGGGCAGGCAAGTGAGCACCAGGAAGTCTGTCCCACATGTAGACAAGCCTGGCCCCTCACTCCATCTATGCCCCGCCCCAACTGAGCAAGTCAGGAATAAGTTTCTGGCCCCAAAGGCAGGAGAGTTTTATCTGGAATTTTCCACCTCCTAATTTGCATGAGCATAACCAGGCATGCTTTTTGCTCTAAAGGCTATTCCCATGACACAACACATAATAGGTTCAATTTAATTACTGTAATTACCAAAGTTTCACCAAATACTAAATTCTACTGGTAACCTGGAACCTTTATAAAGTGCAAAGGAACATTTACAAAGTGCAAAGCTCAACTTTCTCTCCAGTCTCAGCTTGTTGCTAAGCTCGCCAGCCGTCAGCATGAGGATCCTGTATCTCCTCCTTGCAGTGCTCTTTGTCTTCCTGTTGCCTGTTCCAGGTGAGGTAGGCCAGGGGGACAGAGGGCTGAACTAGTGGAAAGAATAGGATGGAGTCTCTCTCTCTCTCCCTCCTTCTTTCTCTCCCTCTCTCTCTTTCTTCTCCCTTTTCTCTGTAGCACAGACATTCTTAGGTCAAATAGACCGTATGGATGGCTTATGGGAACCAGGCACCGTGTCCTTCCACGTGGAAGGACTTTAAGAACTTTACTGCACAAAGATCAAAAGCTTTTCTCATCCAATCTGAAGGAGCCAGATAGCTTGTAAATCTCATCTCCTCGCTGCTCTTCATGCTAAACTGCTGCATAACAGAGGATGCCTCTGTGAGGTGACTTTTCTTTTTTCATAAAAGCAAGAAATTTGATTTTGTCCAAGGACAGAAGTGCGGGTGTCACTTTATAAATCTTCTCCTTAAAGGCTGGAGTCTCTGGGTAATTGAGAATCCCAGAGAATAACAAAGCCCAGCCTGCACTTTGGGATCTGCCCTTGGGGAGCACCTCTGTGTCCCTGTTTTTGCAGCTCTGAGGTCCTCAAGGACACACCACTGAGAGCCCTACTCTCCATTCACAGCTGGGAGACAGTCCATCCAAAGCTGTTTTTAAAATTAGATGACTAACTTTTATTTATCTTTGGCATTACAGAAATAGACTAAAAGGGGTGAAGGAAGGAAGGAGAGAGGAAGGAAGTGATGGGGACATCACTTCCTGAGATAGCTGTTAATTAGAAATTATATTGAAAACCTTCATTTTATCAATTTTGCTTACACCTATATTGCAACACTTAGAAGAGTAGCAGGGAGGGATGGAAGGAGGAGGGAAAACTAGATAAGAAGATGAGAATATAAGGAAGACGAGAAGGGAGAAATGACAGAACAAAGCAATGAAGGGGGGGGGTGATGGAGGTAGGAGAGCCAGCCCACATCTGAGATATTTCTCAGATATTAGAAACAGTATTACAAAAGGGTTTTTTTTTTAACAGTTGTTATTATGCATTGTAAGTTACTTAGGTATTAAGCTCTTGTTCAAAAATTCCTATCCTTTAAGCTGCATTTTATTCTCCCATCTCACCTGAAATACGTAATCAACTAAATTATTTGGAAAACAAAACAATAAAAATAGGCACTGTCTGGTTGTTTCTGATTCTGAAACCACTGGCCTGTGTGTGAAAACCGAGTTCGCACAGCCTTGAGAAGATTCTCTCCCGTGTGGGAGTTGAACTTGCACAGAACCCTGGCAAACCCCAGTTACTGGGCCACGGAGCGCAAGGTTCTAGTTCTAGAAACACGAGGCCCCACTGAAAGCTCCGTGGTGCCAGTCTCTGCTTGAAAACTGTATGGGTTACTATCTGACAGAATAACCACGACCTTGAGAAGGAAGGCCCTGAGGATTTGCTCAAGGAGAGCCAGTGCGTCTTTCTGACTAGGTGCTTTGACTTCTGACACTCTTTTGTCTTTTTTATTTTCGTTTTAGCTTTTACTAAAGACTTAGATGATCCTCTTACTTGCGTTACCAGTGGAAACATGTGCATGCGGGGTAGTTGCCCTCCACATACACAACAGGTCGGCACCTGTGGCTTGCCCGGGACAACATGCTGCAAAAGAATGTAATAGAAAGCGGAGAAACTGCTGTGACAGATGTGGCATCAGAAACTGCTCCTGTTCCCAAAGACACGTAAAATTTACACCAGATTAAACCGCTTTGTTCAAAAACCAAGAATCTTGCCTTCTGGTCATTGTGTTTGTTGTGTGGTATTTTATCAGAAAAACTGATCTCTAAAGTCCTTGATATTGCCCCTTTAAGCTCCCCATACTGACAATCAGGGCCAACATGATGGGACCCTCCTGTTCCCTTCAGGGTTATGGTCACCTGGCCTTCCCCCATTACTGCCTGTGTTGTTCTCTAACATGCACATTGTTCTTCCTGCTTCCTGCCCAGGCATGCCCTCACATGCCCCAATCACCCCTCAAGCTTGTGCTTCATTCATCTAATCCTAAAGGAACACCACCTCCTTCCTTCAGGAAACCATAACAGATCCACACAGCAAGCAGCCCATCCCTACTCTATGTTCCCCACTTCCTCACTTCCTTTGGTTTGAGCTTCGTACTCAGCCCTGCCTTGTGCACCTGGGGGTAAACTTCTCATTCTCTGTGGGGCTGTACAAACTCTACAGCTGTGGACTTTGTCTTATTCAATTATATGCTGATTGTCAAGTGGAGACACTGCTTCACTGGATGGCAAAGCTGAGTTGGATGAAGCATTTCTTTCCATGTGGACATAAAATGATGCAAGTACCTGCAGTGGGAAAACAAGTCCTTGTTGAAAGCATGACTAAATGAAGCAAATATAGCATGGAACACAGGGAGAGGGGACAGAACACCAAAAGAAAGAGAACATAGGTGGCCAGGGAAAAAGGGGGATGCTGCCCTTGCCCTGCCATCTTCCTTGGGAGGGTTTGGTTGTTAAATCTAGAGTTCAGTAAGGGTAGCCTGCATATGTAAGCAACTCTTTTTCTTTTTACATTAACTCTTCATTCAACGTACCTATAATTACCCCAGGGTAAACACTGTTTTGCTTCGAAAGGATTCCTTCGTTTTCCTAGAGACTCCAGATTGAAAAGATAAATTACACTTTGTTTGAATAAAGGTATCTTTATCCAAATAGAGACACCTGATAATGGCACCAAGACGAGGATGATCAGAGAGAAGGACTTGCCTAGGGTGCAAAATGTAAAGGGCTACCAAAAAATTCTGTAATTAAGAAAAATAATATAATACAATATTTTTAAATTAAAATTAATGCAAAAAACCCATAATCAATAAAACATTAACATCGTACTTAAGGACAGGATCTGATCCTGTAGTTGTACAACTCCAATTCATTGGCTTCACTCTAACCTCAGTCTTGTCTTGATTTAATCATTTGCTTTTTTTTTTTTTTAATTTTTATTTATTTTCCCCCAAAGCACCAGTAGATAGCTGTATGTCGTAGTTGCACAGCCTTCCAGTTGCTGCATGTGGGACGCGGCCCCAGCATGGCCGGAGAAGCGGTACGTCGGCGTGCGCCCGGGATCCGAACCCGGGCCGCCAGCAGCGGAGCGCGTGCATTCAACCGCTAAGCCATGGGGCCGGCCCTAATCATTTGCTTTTAATAATTTATGACATTATTATTTTTAATAGATGTGTCACTCTCTGGGTGCCTGGAAGTATACGTCTTTGACTGCATAAATGAGATGAAGTTTAACACAGTAAATGTATTAGTGAATGACATCATAACAATGTCACTCACTCCTGTGGTCTGAGATGGCACAATTCGTTTAGGGAGAAACTGCTCTATTAATTAAGAAACCATTTTAATGTCTATTTGGTTCTTGAAAGGCTAGATACCTGTGTACATCTGTAAAATGGAGATGAAAGCAAGTAAGAGCTAAGTAGCTCTACATTTCTAAAAATAAAAGGACTTTTCGGTTTCCCACCTGGAATCAGAGATTAAAAATGAAAGGAGTTTTTGGTTCCAAAAGGAACATGTGTGTCTATAATATGACAAGACATGGCCTGGAGAGATTAATAATGAAGAATGGCTGGAAACCTTTAGCAAGAATGTGTTGACTTAAAGAAATAAAACAGCCGGTTATGTCATGAGCAAAATGAGTTTATTTGAGAAGAGCAGAAGAATTATAATTCGGGATGAGCAAACTATAACAAAAGCCATAGGAAAGTCCAGCAAACAAAGGAGAGAAACATTACTTTATAGAGAAAAAGAAGGAAGTCAAGAGGCATTGTTTTGAAGGAAAGTCCACTGGTGGAAAGCATGAGTTCAGGGTAGTGATGGTTCTCATTGGCTGAGTTGCTGGGGAACCCATTTCTTGTTGTGGTGCAATGTACATCTCTTCCTATGGGGGTTTGTAACTGACAGTTCTTCCTGTCACTGAGGTTGAGCAGTCGTGTGTGAGAGCTCCCCTTTCTGGCCACGCAATCTCATTTTCTTTTCGTTTATTGCTTTTTTCTTTTTTCTTGAGGTCACATTGGTTTAAGACATTATAGAAATTTCATGTTTACATCATTATATTTCCACTTCTGTATAGACTGCATCATGTTCACCCCCAAAAGTCTAGTTCCCATCCTCCAACTTCATTTTAAATGAGGTTTCCTTTATTCTGTTTCACAAGTGCATTCTGATTTCCAATTTTATTTTTTGACGCTTCTGTGTAGTAACCATATATCATTACCTTCAAATTCTCCTAAACTCTTGTTTCACTCAATGTCCTTGTGATTGTGAAATCTTGGGAAATGAAGGAGAGCCTCAGTCATTTTTGGTGCAAAGCTATGAAGGCAGATTGCAGTTGCCACATGAAGTGAGGTGGAATTGTCCAGAGAAGACTATGGAAAAGCTGGAAGTAGGTGTTTGGACAAAATATTGTGAGCATAGGCACCAGCTGGGAATCGTGAGAAACATCTGGATATCTGCATCAATTTACAAGTGATAGTAGCTGGAGTTGCTTAATTTGGATATTAAAAACAAAAACATGAGAGCCCTCATGACCTAGTGGTTAAAGTTTGGTGCTCACCACTTCAGTAGCCACGGTTTGCTTCCCTGTCATGGAACCACACCAACTGTCTGCCATTTGCCATGCTGTGGTGGTGGCTTACACAGAACTAGAATGGCTTACATCTACCATATACAACCATATACTGGGGCTTTATGGAGCAAAAAAAAAAAAAATGTAAAAAGAATGGGATAACCTGTTCTTTTTTGGGGACCATTGGCAGACTGCTTTGCAACCACGTCAAATTTCATCTACTCTGACTCTTTAAACCTGCAAACTTATGACTTAAAAGAAGAAAATTATACCTATCCTATTGTGTTGACGGATCATGAGAAAAAAATAAGAAAAGGTGTGTTAAACACTGCAGCTAGTTCATTATTTTTATTGAGTTCATCTGGCTAACTCTAAGAAAATTAGCACAAGATCTTTTTTCCAACTATGTCTAAACCAAATGAGGAGACTCTCCATTGAACATTTTTTCTCTGATAAATCTCAGTATAATTTTCTTTGTCTATATCCTGTTTGTATTTTGCAGAGCTCTTTGAATAGATGGGCTAATATTTTTCATTGATTTTAGAACATCTCTAGCCACTATCCCTTCAAGAATTCCTGCTGTCTGTCCTCTGTCTCCTCTCTTCCTTGGAATAGAATTGCATATATATG